CCGCTTACATCGCCTAATTAGAGAGCCGCTAGAGGAAATAGGGGAAGGCTTAACCCATTCACAAACATAGCAGTTTCTCTGAAATTGCTATGTTTATGAAAAAATGGGTTAACCCTAGAAGGACCTGGCACCCAGACCACTTCATTAAGCTGAAGTGGTCTGGGTGCCTAGAGTGGTCCTTTAAAAACCTCTATGACCCGACTCATAGAAGCTACTTCCAGGATAATAACAGGGCAGAAACGAGCCGCAGCATCCTGTGGCAGGCCCATGAATCCGTGATACGGGGACAACTGATAAGACGGGCATCATACCTAAAACGGAAATCCCAATTACAGCTCCGTACATATCAAACAGACCTTCAGCGTGCTACGACACAAAATCAAATCACTCCCACACATGAGCTGCAGGAACAAATCATACAACTCTCAAGGCTCATACACCAGATGTCCTTAGAACAGGTAGGCTACCATCTGGATAAACGCAAGGCACAAAACTACACATACTTGTTTTCCTGGCACTATAGTGACTTGAGGGTTAACCCTAGCTGGACCAGGCACCCAGACCACTTCATTAAGCTGAAGTGGTCTGGGTGTATATAGTGGTCCTTTAATTTAGCACCTTAATATTGGGTCACTTACTGAAAATGATGACTGGCAACCAGACACGTTAACAGAAGAAGAAAATTGTGTGTGTGTGTATATATATAAACTAAAAGAGCAACTATTTATTTTAAAATCTCGAAAATGTCACTAAAACAGCAGCCCCTCTCCAGTAGCTCTCACATGTCACAGTCACATGGCTTCCACACTGCGGACTATCAAACACTTCCGCATCAGCCCCCTGCCAGGAAAAACAATCAATGGTCGACTACACGGTCGTTTTTCGAGCGTTTCCGTGTGACAAGCCAGACACGGGCTTTAACGGTAACAGCGTGATTACTGAAAGCATTCGAGACCCAGCATACATGTTAGCGCCAGGTTTACTTTACGGGTTTTTATAAAAATACAGACTGATGTTTTCTAAGCAGAGAAGGCGGACGGCCATAACCCTGTCCACATCCATGTATCGGTGATCGGCTGAGAGGGTCTGCTCAGTACAGCCAGGCGCTGGATTCAAACAGGGGAAACAAGATGAGAGCAGAGGGAGCTGCCTGTGCTCCAGCCACATGGTTAAAGAGCCTGACACTGCTCTGCCTGGGCTCACTGCTTGGAAATGGGCAGGAGCTGAAAGGTAAGCTTTAGCTGAAAAATGCATATACTGGGAGGACATGATGAAACATTAAACCCATCTAGAGTTCAGCCCTACAGGCACAGACAGGGAACCAGCTCATTATATTGTTTTTCTGTGCTCACTGACAGAGGCAAAGTCTGTTTTTATAAATGATAGAAGAAAATCAACCAGCTCATAAAAATGATTGGAAGGGAGACAAGGTATGTGGCACTTGATAACAACAAAAAATGCTAAATACATCCCAGTGCATTGCATCATTTAATTTTATTCCAGATAAAGTGAAACTACTGTTTTTTTAAAAGCAATTTAGTAGATATACCCCACCCCCAACAAAAACATGCATTTACTTTTTCTGTTTGTTTTCTTTGTGGTCGTAAGAAAGAAAAAAAAAAAAAAACAGTTTGCAAAATATGCAGATCTGGTGTCTGCAGCCTTTTCAAGTGCCAGTTTATGTCCATTCATCAGAGGCTTCTCATTTACAATCCTCTGTGCTGAAGCTGCATGCATGCTGCATTCCTATGCTTCTCAAAGAGCTGTACTACATGGATGTGAAGTTGATAAAAACAGAAAAATAACTCCTTGGCTGTGAACGCCCCAAATATAAAAACGCCTATTAACATGGGCACTTTTTTATAACCTGTCACAAATATGACTGACTCCAGACACATAAAGCACCTCTGCTTGCTACACCTCAATTATCAAGTTGGTTTCCAGTAGAGACAACTTTATGTAGTTAGATTTTATCTGTAATATGAAGTTAT